CCCCCTTGCTCCTCCAGGCGTCTCCCACCTTCCTCCCCGAAACCCGCAGCTAGCACCGACCTGTCCAATGGCTGCACTTTCCTCGGGGCTGGCAGAGGAGTCGCCGAGAGATTAAACCCGGGGAGCAAGGCAAGGGGGAGTGAGAGGGCAACTCCGGCCCGGCGTGCCCCCCGGCAGCCGGCGGCCTGGCGCGCCGGGAGAGGAGGCGAGAAAGCCAAGCTAGGAGGGGAGCGCCGGACGGCACCTCTGCGCTGCCCGGGCGCCATGCCCGCACCCGGCTCGCACCCCTGGCGGTCGGGCCAGCGGTGCCCGCACCCACCTGGCCCTGGGCCGCCTTCGCGCCCGCCTGCGGGGAATCGCGGCCCAGCGGCCGACCCTGCGGGCGCTCGCCGCCGATGGGGTCTTCCTGGGCGTTACAGGGTTAATTACAGTTCGTCATTCCCGGGAGGGCGTGTGCGGCTGCGGCTGGGGTGTGAAGAAAGCAAACCTGAGCCCGTACTCGCTTACTGACCCTGCGAAGCCCCTTCGGACCCCCGGCCCGCCGGGCGGGTGGAGGAAGGTGGCGCGCGGCAGCTTGGACCCGCCGCTGCGGCTTTGTAAAGTGTCAGCGGGAGCGAAAGCGAGAGTTTAAGGAAACAGGAGGCCCACTGAATTTCCTACGGGGGCTTTAACAGGCTTTCGCTGGCTGGTTTGTTTTTGTTTTTTCAGCTCGCGGAAGTGCTTCAGCGTTAACCCTTTCCAGCCCTTTCAGTAAGTTTACACCTTATTTCGTAGAGTTAACCTTATTTTAAAGGGGTAAATACAAAGAAAGGAAGGAAAACAGCATATTGGTTTTAAAAAGTACAGCTTCTAGAACCAGATTGGGCTACAATTCCACCTCCCACTAAATAGCTATATGGCTTTGAGCAATACTCTTATTAGTGCCTCAGTTCCCCATCCATCAGGGGAGAGTTGTAGTTATGCCCTTATAAGGTTGTTGTATTGGATTAAATGAGTTAACACTGAATAATTAAAGAATTGAGAACAGTGCCTGGCACAAAGTACATGACTTTATGCTTCTTAAATTAAAGAGAAGAGAGGGAAAGGAAGAGAGAGGGTGTCCTAAATCAATTGGAGAATCTGCTTCAGTGTTCTAAGAGCAAAAGGGCCTGTTAGTCTATTCTTGTCCAGTCTTTTCCATGCTCTAAAAAATTTACGGGTACCATCAATAGCACCTTAATTTTGTCTCAATACCCACTGGAAGTGGATCCAGATAATCAAACTACTCTTGCCAATTTGATGCCGAAAGAATGCCTTTCTCATGGTTCCTTAGCTGGTGAGCAGAAGAGAAACAGGAAGTGTAGCATGTTTTCCTCAATCCAATACTCAATTCGCTATTTATTTTGGAATATATAAACTCGTCATGGATACACACTTTTTAATGCTATTTCCTCTCTCCTGAGCTTTTTCCCAACCAGTTGATTTCTCCCTCCTCACCTTACTTAGAAAACCTGGTTCTTTTACTTATGCTCAACCAAGAGTTAAGTTCTATGTAACATTACATCCAAAGTTGAGTACCTGAGATACTTATCTATTTAACAGTAAGTTGGGGAAATGAATCTTCCTATCAAAATCTTACTGTCATTTAATTAACGTCGATTTTTTTGTCTGTATCCCTACTGACCTCACTTACTTCACAAATCCTTGCAGAAAGCTTCCTAAAAACGTTCAGTACAGCTCCATTTCCCATTTATATGCAAAATTATGGGGACGGGGAGGAGCCGTTTCAAGAGAGTATCTCTTCTTTAGTCTGGAATATTTCCCTCCCCTTTCACTGTAGAAAAATAGGTGTTTCCTGTTTCTCTGAGAAGAAACAAGTCCCTGCCTCTCCCTGGTATGATTTTCTTTCTTTTTTTCCTTTATTATTATATGTGCAAATTAGCAGTGTTTATTTTCTTGTTTGTTGTCAGCAATGCTTTGCCCTCCTGATTGAAGCTTTATACCTCAAGTGGAAATTTGATGCCAAAAATGGAAAGGGAGTCAAGTGGTAATTCAGAGTAAGTCTGAAGAGGCTTTTATGTATTTTGTCTCTCTCACTGGTCCTGTTTCATTTTACTCATATCTTAATCTTATTCTGAAGAGCTGTCCACATAGAAAATACTTTAGTATGGGAGAAGATGCAGGTAAGCAAGAATCAATCATGCATGATGATTTAGTGCTCAGAACTAAGTAAGAAAGAACAACATCAAAATAAAGTTAGGCTTTGGTACATTGCCTTAAATGTCAACCAATCATTATTTGTAAAAAAAAAAATATATTTTTCCTTTACATTATAGCAAGTAACAACTAAAATGTATATAGGATGGTATGTTCAGAGTGAAATGGAAAGTTCATTACTCATATAAAATCCTGGCTAATTAAAAGTAGTATACTTTGCGGCCTAAAGGATCTAAGTTTGCCATATATGTTTCACCACAGAATAATCTATTTCACTTTCACGGAGAGAAATTAAGATATCTCTGTAGAAAAAGTTTCATCTTCCATCTGACTAAAGAGAAGAGTTATAATGAGTGAGCTTTGTTTCTATTTACTATAGTTGTAAGAACTGAATCTCTGGGGGGGGGGGGTTGTTTGTTTTGTACTCACTGGCTTAATTTTAGCTAACCTCTCAAGGAACAAATGAGTCAGGAATCACAAAGGAGCTGCACTTGAGTTCCTTGTCCATGACAAAGGTCTGGAATTCACTGAACACCCTCCTTTACGATCTTAAGATTGTATATCAGAATCATTCTCACCAACAGAGAACTTTGGGCTGACATTAGCACCTGAGCTAAAGTCTGCACAGATTTCAAACCTGTTCGCAACCCCTTATCTACACCAACCTTCAAAGGCATTTCTACACATTCCAAGTGCAATACTACCTGCATAAAGGTAATTACAATTACCCATCTCATCCCACCTCCAACTCTATCATCTCTCCCAAATTGAAACTTGGCTAACAGGATACTCAAGAAACCATCATGCTCATTTTGAAAAAACTGAGATGTAATACAGGCTGTGGAGTACTTGGTATTTATTGTAGTCTATTATTATTTTAGGAAATAGTTTTTGTCCATTTTAATAGACTTTGTTAAAGCTTTCTATAATTGCTGTCAAGTAAAGGGAAATTGCTAGTAGTGGACTGCTTTTATTCAGTCCTAATCTAATATTATGACCTTTTCCTCTAGGTCTAAGGCATTTCCTCTTCCTCATTTGATAGGGCTATTTTTTTCTACCTCTGGTACTCAATTACAAGACTCATTCCTTCATCTTGGCTGACTTCTGCTTTCAGAATTGACAAGATTTCCTTATACTATTGATGGATATTTCAGCTTTTTGCTCTTTCATAATCTTAAGTAAAAATTTTATGAATAGTGTTTTGAATGAAGTAAGCATATAAAAAATTACATAACAGCTAATATTACTCTGTTTACAGGGACATTTAGCATGCAAGAATACTTAATGCCTTTTATCCTCATATCAATAGTACATTTACTATTTAGATGAGATTAAAATATAATTATATTTGCCTCTTTCCTAATGAAATAGCATATTGCATTAAAATGGCATACATGTTTATACTGTCTTCTTTCTGAATCTTAATAAGCTAAGGTTGCTTTGACCAGTAAACAGCAAAGTACAAAAAATGTGCAGCTCAAAATAGTAAAAACAAATTCTTAACATGGAACTGTACACTCCTGTATGATCAGGCCGCTCAATATGGCTCTTCTCTTGCTCTTTGTACATCCCTGCTCAACCAGTCCCTGCTTCACCTACTCAGGTGAACAGTGCTTGCCCCC